ACTTGTTACTAGAAGCGATGCACTTGTTCCTAGGAGCTTCTTGTTACGAGCATGCCTCGACGCATCGTCCGGGTCACTGAACCGTCGAACGGATCGTCCGGGCGCACGTCCAGCGTCGAGGAGTGCACGCGAAGGACGGCGGTCCGCAGTTTTGGAGGTCCGCAGGATCCATTGGCAAACAAGTCTATATAAATGTTCATCCAGACCGGCTGCTTCTAAAGGTGAATCTGAGAGTGTTCGGACACATAAACTGAACTATCAGTGATCCGTTGATTCCCTCTTCAATTCGTTTCTTCAATCTTTGAGCAAGATCAAGGCACTTCCAACTGGGTGAAAAGCTCCAGTTCAAATGGTTTGGACCAGTAGACGGGTTCTGCAGCCGCATGTGGAAGCAAAGCCTTCAAGGCGTCTAAGTCCTTCACAAAGGCCGTCCTGGCAGGAAATGCTGAGTCAAGATTATCAATCTGAGAATCTGAGGTAGAAATTGTCAACACACTGTGGTTTGAAGCTACACGCATGTTTAAAAAAGCTTCTTCATGTCCTCTGGCGTTCCGTGGCCTCAAGCTGCTCTGCTTGCATCCGGCTGTCTCCGCAAGCCACCAAATAATGTTGCAGCCGGTCCATGGCGCGCACCAAGCGTTGCCTTGCCTGCTTGGTGGCCTTGGAGGCCAGGCAGGTGTCTACCACCAGCATCAAACCGATGCCGAAGACCGTCTGCACCACAGTGTTCCTGAAAGCAGCTGCTGATGCATAGAAAAGGCCACTGGAACACACAGATCAGTGAAGAGTGGAGACTGGGCAGTCTGACTTTCGGTCAGGTTTGTGTAAATGCGTGCTACCGCTACCGTCAATCAAGGAAAATGTGTGCTAGACTCACAAACCTTATGAAAGCGGGCTAGTAGTAGTATTTTTACTGCGAAACCAGCTCAACGAAACCAAACCTTTAAGGTCAGACCTGTAGATTTTGCCCAGCTAGTCTCAATCCGCCTGCTTTCAAGCATGATGGCCTCTATTGTTGAGTCTTTTGGTTTATCGCGTTTCTTGGAAAAGGGTGGTGTGATGTGCACAACAAATCCAATATTAAAGCATACTTTCGTCACATAACACCTTCAGGTTCTGCAGCACAAGCCAAGTTCTTGTTCTTGTTTACCGATTCCATTTTGAGGTCGAGAACCCATGACATCCGCAGCGGACCTGCTGCAACAGAATTGCAGCGAGCATGGAAGAACAGGCTGTGAGACAACATCGATTAATGCGTATATAGTGGGAGAAGAGGTCTTCCTCTCACTAAGCAAGATCCCCTGGAAGCTATCTGAGAGAATAGCTACTAGTATTCTAAAGGAAATGTTAAAGAAATTGATGTAAAATAGTAATATAGTAAGAAAATGTAGTAAGTAATACTGAATAGAAGGTTAAAAAGCTGATACAAGCTTGTTGACGCTGACACTCCTGAAAAAGAATACAAGGATAGCCCCTTCGAATAGGGCGGTGAGACAAGCACCTGGTCTCTTGAGTGATGGGGACAAGCACCTGGTCTCTTGTCCCTTTGGTTCAAGCTTCATTAAGGTTGGCAGCACTGAGGTCTGTGTGTTCTGCGTGATCTCGCGCAAGACCCCATTGCTTGGAATCATACTGGCAGCCGCATAGGCCGCTGTGAGGCCATAGACAGATGCCAAGTCAGCGGGCGCATGTAGGTATTGGAAAAAGGTCATGGCAACCTGAGGAGTCAAAGGAACCATCAGTTGGAGGCCATCACTATTAGGGGGAGGCCATCGCTAATAGGTTGGAGGCCTTAGGAACTGTTTGGGTTCGGGCCTTGGATGCGGAAAGGTCCGGCTCCCGAAAGCCCAAGGGCCCTTAGGGCTTTGAGCAATTCAAGTATGTCTCAATTTCCCTAGAAGGAAAACAAAGACGCTACTAGGAACAAAGGGCATCGCTACTAGGAGCAAGGACGCTACTAGGGGCTCCTGGCATCCTGGGCCAACTTGGAAGGATATCTCAGTCTCACGCTTGATGGGTTGATGTGTCCAAACTGCGTTGATGGGGGGCCAAAGTCGTCGTGCACCATTTGCTTTCCAAGGCGCAACAAGCCACATAGCTGTGGCAAAAGCCATGACATACGCAACATGCCTCAATGCACAGCAGACTGTCACTATGCAGTCTCGACCTGCAGTCTCCTCATCGTTGACTTTTTATCATTGAACTCACACAAAAATCCACCACTGCCCCATGAGAAACCAAAACCATCCATCCAAGCACCACAGGGCACCACAGGGCCATGCGGCGATGGTCTGCTCTTTTTACCCGGTGATCCCTCTCCCAATCCCAAACGCCAGTGCTCCGCTTGCGCTTGGTCGCTGGCTGTGCTTGGTCGCTCGGTTCCTTCAGCTCGCCTCCCTTCGTTCCTTCGGCCAGGGCACTTCACGGCCAGGCCCAGCTGCAGGATGGAGCCGGCCACCTTCCCAAGCACCACCCCACTCAAGCGGCGTAGAGTCACCGTGGACGTCGCACCCGTGTAGGTGTAGACAATCACCTCGTGTCATCACACAAACCCAGCCAAAACAAAGGAAAAAAAGCACGCGTAACATGAATAATGGACAATCCTGGGCCAAAAGAATGCCCTATGAATCAGAGACGCCCTACTACAGGCCAATTCAGAATCAGAAAAACGCCCTATGTGTGAGCTGTTGTTTGCTCCAAAATGCCCCCAAAGCTCATGTACCCTTTGGATAATTACTCTCGCAGCTGGCCTACTGGAAGCATCAAACTCCCTTCCACTCACACCAGTTGGACAAATTGACGCCAGATCACTGCAATGGTGGAGGCTGCATACGAGGAGTAGCTCGGCATCACATTCCAAATTCCCAGCCATCCAATACTGAACGCCAAGCAAATTGAGATCGTATTGCGCACCACAAATCTGGGGTGAATGGCTTCGGTGTCCTCGTTGTGAAAAAGGATCGCGGCACTGTAGGTCTTGAACTTGGCCTTAAATCCAAGACTCAATTTGGGTCCCCCCAAAAAGAGACATATGCAAAACGTGAATAGTTACTTCCACCTTGGTCAGAAAGGGAACGAACGAGATGTCATTGGTCATCTCTTCAAGTCCTCAAAACCACCGTATCATTTCTCGAACTCTCTCGGTCGGCCCCGTGGTTGCCGCTCTAACAGGTCCGTCCGAGAGTCCAGGAGGTTCCAACAGCTGCAGACGCCAGCCGATGGAACTCTGAAACGCTGGAAGTCCGAGACCACCTCGGCAAAGCGCAGTCGAACATGAGAGTCTCATGAGGAATCCTCCTACTTCAATCTAGAATGGATATTCCAAGAACCACATTCATCTATGACCGCATATGACGACATGGCCACCAAAAGGTCAGAGCTCCACACTGAAGAACTGAAGAACCAAACAAAGGCTTGCTGTGTTAGAATCTGTTCTAAAAGAATGTGGTGGAACCTTTGAGAAGCACAGTTACTTGCATGCTGGGTCTCTATTCTTCTGACTTTAATGGTGTCTAAGAAGCGAGTTTCGGTCCAAGAACCAGGTTTCTCGTTGCGATTGGATGCCTTAGATGACATCTTGACAAGTCATTTTCGCCTACCAACGAAGTGGCCTCGTTGAGCTCCGCTAAAGCGCCCAGGACCACCAGGACAAAGGCACAAACCTCCGGCTGACGCTCCTGTCGAGATGCACTGCTGTGCCACAGACTGTGTCACAAAAGAAGCCTAGTGCCACAACCAGATGTGCCTCCAGACTCTCGGTTCTCAAAAGGAAAATTGCGAAAGCTCTCAATCTCCAAGGCTTAGGACGCAGGATAGCGAAGACGCTTCTTCAAGGAAGCTCCCCCTAAAGGCGGCGGGGAAGCTTCCTTGAAGAAGTGCTCGCACTAATGATTTGGTTCCTAGAGATCTTTTGAGGACCTTAACATTAGAGCTTGTAATTACATCATTGAAACTACTGGTAATCTAGTCATATCTCGTGCCTCAACCGTCAAGGGCATCTCTGTTCGTCCAATATTCCGATGATCACTTTGGACATACAGGCTCATCGTCATCCGATATGAAACATCAGAAAAGAAGTTAACATGGATGTCAAGATTGGCAGGGTGATGAAAATTGGAAAAGGCAATGCCAATCCGGATGTCAAGATCAGCCTGTCCTTGTCCATGTGCCAAAGAACTGCAAACTGCTGTTCTGCTGCCTTGAAGGCATCAGCACCATCTTCCGGAGAAGGTTCACCATCAGCACCATCATTCTGCATAAAGAAAACGTCCAGCTTGGCAGACGCTGCCTCGAGTCGAGCTACTTAATAATTCAGATTGGGGACTCCTTTAAGTGTTCAAAATACTCCCAGTGCCAAAATGTAAGAACCAACACTACTCATTGGTTCTGGGCTGCATGATGATTTGGCAACTGAAACTGATACCATCCTTGCGTATCCATGCTGTGCATGCTGTATGTTTCTTCGTGGCTTTTAGGATTGCATCAGACCGTCTGCCATGCTGGGAAATCGAGGAATCTAAACCTGATGTCATTGATCAGTCAAGTGCTTTGTTGTTGCTTGGGTGCTTGAGCAGAGTCCCCACATCCTCTCAGATTGATAGAAACTACCAAGTCGAAAGTAGGTCGTCACAAGCACAGCAAAGCGCAACTGTAGAAAGGTGTAGGTGAAGGAGCCAAGGAGAAAAAAGTAGTAGGGCCTTGGGCTTTGGGAGGAGCAAAATAGAGGAGCAAAGACATGAGTTGCTCATGTGACCAGCGGGCCTTGGGAGGACCAGAACGCCTCGAACGCTCAGAACGACGCCTCAAGGCGAGTCGGACGAAGGAAACGTCGTCTCGCCCTGTGGCGCCTCGCAGCACTGTCCGAGGCACTGGTGCAGCTCTGGGCTGAGGCCCCCAGAAGATCTCAGTGATGCAAAGCGGACACTGCAATCAGGTTGTGAAGAGAAACCGTCTCCGACACATGACTTGCATGTGTCAAAGCACCGTCCCAAACTACTTCGGGCTGGTCAGGTCCACGGTTTTTCGGGTCAGGTTGCCCAATTCCCTCTTTACAATTCCCCCTTGGAAAGTTCCTCGCTTGATTTGGGCGATGTTCATAGGGTGGTTTAATGTTATGTGGATGAGCCTGTTCCAATCCCCAAACAAGTGGTTCTTTTTAATGAACATACAGGGTGGTTTATCTGTTCATAGCGATGTCCAGTCGACTGTTATTGTTCCAAACAATCCCCTTTGACCATCTGGTCATGGTGGCTTTTGGCCATGAACCGACTAGGCCCTAGGCGGGACAGAAAAGGGAGAAAACCTGTTCCGCGGAACAGAAAGAAATATGACCTGTCGGGCCCCACCACCAACTACCACCACCAAAAAGCCTTGAATAGCTACTCTTTGGATGACTCTATGAAAGCGTCTTTGATATCAGAACATGAATGAACAAGCTTGTCCAAAACCTTTCAAACACCTTCTGCTCTGTCCCAAGGCCTTCCCCTACGAAGGCACTCCAAAGCAGCAGCAGCTTGGTAAATCGCTGGGAGTCTCTGCAAACAGCGATGCAAACAACTGGGCAGGAGCTCCAGCCGTTCATGTCGTTCTTCGTTGGCCCACAGCCAAGCGAAGCGCTCAAAGCGTGAGGAGTTGACGCTCTTCTTCAATTCCTGGCGGTCCAAAAGCGGCTTGATTGTACGCTCACTACGCTTGATCGTATTAACGGACAAAGCACCACGTCCGAGCCCTGATCCCAACAGACTCCCACTCCTTTGGGTTCTCTTGTCCCATTCAACCGGGCTCGGCCGAGACTGCTCACCTGCAAAGTCGTCTCGGCAGTCTCCAGGCACGTCTTTGCCTTCAGTCGCAAAACCTCTTCAAGGCTGTCCGGCAAGTGCTTCCTGGCAGATCATGGAACGCAATGAGGCATCTTTAAGAGGGTTCTAAGTCGTAAATCAACAAATGAACCAATCTCATCCAAATATATAACTAAGTGTTCGTGCACTGAGCCCCTATATAGAACTTGGAATACCTATGTACTGCCAAAAGTTTGGCATTGAACTGTGTGTTTGCCAAGATTATATAAACATGTTGCTACAACATGTTGTTGGGATGTTGGCTCATCATATGGGACAGCCAATTGGGTTCCGAACAAACGCAGTTTCAGCAAGTGTTTTTCCTGTGAAGGACAAGACCGCACGGCTCTGAAAGTTGTTCAATCCAAGACTCACCAGCACTTTGGCCAGTTCCTCAGATTGAATGCAAGGTGCCAAAGTCCGCCACTGGTCTGCCTACTCCTACTCCTACTGCTCCTACGACTCCTACGACTCCTGCACCCCTACAACCCTACAACCCTACTTACTACCCCTACAACCCTAACAACAACAACAACAACAACAACTACTACTACTACTACTACTGCACTAAGTGACTACTTATTGTACTTACGACGACAATGCCAATGCCAAAACTTGCCCTTGGTCGATTTCGATGAGCGTCGGTGGCCTCTCTAGCCCAGACCTGAGCTGCCTCGGTCCCAGTGAAGCGGCGCTTAGGTATGAAGAAACAGAACAACACCATCATCGCGGCCAGGGCGATCATCTCCAGGTATTCCTCAGTGTCAAAAGTCAAAGCCTTCTGAAAAGAGCTTTGTAAGGAGAGAATGCGCGAGGTGGGATGGATAGAGGATACAACATTTACCTGAACAGACCTCACTTACACCTTACTTTGCAAAAGCAATCTGCACCAAAGCAAAAGCTACGTTCAATCCCAGCGCCTCACAACACCAGACAAGGCTCTGTAGCGTAGGTGGGCTCCGTTGAGAAGCTGTCTCCTGAAGGATCCACAAAAGTCATGATGAAGCTGACATGGGTCGAGAGTGCAAAGATCCTGGCGCAGACATGACGTGACGCGCGCGCTTTCTGCGCTTGTCCGCGGCCGAAACCCGGCAGCGCTGGATGTGTCCATGGGTTTACTTCGTTAGGTTCGTTTACTTCATGTGTCATGTGTTATATCAAAGGCATTAAAATGCATTAAAGATAACATATTAAAGGTGCTGCTCTCATCCAAGCATCCGCGGGTTTGAATTGAAGGGTAAAGACAAGCACAGAACCACAAAGAGTGTGAAGTCCAAAGCCACTACCTAAGAGTCTGTGCCAGGCCGACCAACGAAAGTGGCCAGAACGCCACCACAGAGATGTTATACAGTTATACAGTATACAGAATACTCGAGGCATGATCGAACCAATGACCATCTTCGCATCGTCCGTCTTCGTTGTTGTCTCAACATATCAATGTGGCCAAGTCACCGAGAAGGAGAAGACACCAAGCCAGCTCGTCTTCTCCTTGATTCGTTGATTTCATGTTGCTAGCCGCTAGCCTTCTCTTTTCTCCAGAAACACACTCTTCTTATCTTTGCTTCGAATGAAAGGATTGATGTTGCCGTGTCTCGATCCAAAGATTCAAGAAGCAGTGCGCAGTGTCGTCCGCAATCTTCCGGACGCCGTTGTTGCACAAGGGCAGCCATTCAGAGATCACGTCACCCTCTCCGACAGTAATACTGTGGGCATAGGCTCCCCCACCAAGGAAAAAGCCAAGAATCCTGTTCAGAAACATCACGTTCCTTATTCGTTCCATGATCAGAAGTTTAAGTAAAACGGGAGTCATCCATGTTCGCACTTCTTCGACCAAGCCGACAATGCTGAGCAAAAACCGCTTTGTTTGCTTGCTTCGCATCGTCAGAATGCTTGCAGTCACGATTCAAATAGGCCAAGGAAGTGCCAAAGAGCCCTTGAAGTGTGAAGCGCACACTGCTTCCCAGATCCACATACACTGAGAAGATAAACTGCAGCAACATCGTTCCCCAGAGATTCAAGAACGCACTTGGCCTCGCCTCACAACGCTGGGATAAAGCTTGGAGGTGTTCACCAATCGTTCCGGGATCACCAGTCCAAGTTTGGAGATAAAGCCAGGCCAGTGAAAGTGAATTCTTCTGGCCGATAAGTCTCCACCAAAGAACATAATAGGCATTGGTTACCATCACGGCCAGGCAAATCACATGCGTACAGGCAATTCAACTGGAAAATATTATGATTTTTTAGTTATAAGTGTGTGTGTGTGGGTGTGTACCAGTGCCAGACCTCAGACCTCCATGCAGCTATAGATGAATACTCTGGAGGTTTCGTAACATCCTTTGAGAACCAGCAGCTAAAGGTTCGCTTATGCTGCTTCCTAGTTGTTCTCTCTCGCCTGAATCCGTATTTCTTCATCGTTGACATCTCTCCCGTTCTTAATTGGGTGGCCGAAGCAGTACAGTACCCTAACCAAGCAGAGGCTTGGGAGCTGAGTCACTGGAGCACAATGGACACCGGACCAATTCCACATAATCTTGCAAACACCTGCTGTTGGTCCCTCTTCTGTGACCTTGGCAAAAACGGACCAATAATTATATAGTCGGAGTCGGAAACGATTGGTTTTGGAACACTGAAACCTGCTTTCACAAACCTTTCAACTCTTGCTGCAAGAAGGAAAGGATCTGCTAGCTCATGGTATGAGAAAGCAAGCGACACAGTGGGCCAGATCCAGAGACCGGCACCATCCATGGTTCATGTACTCGGCCCATGGCCAGATAATCACTGGAAGTGATAAGATCACAGTCCATGTGGCCACCAAAACGCTGATCTGCACATCTCGCACGAAGCTCCGCTGAGCCCACCATGAGCTCAATTTTCCTCTGGAATGCCTCTGAAAATGCACAGCCACTTGACCCATACAAGTTTTCATGCTCCGATCCTCTAGCAAGCAGATGCCCAAAAATTGAAATTAGCAATTCCACAGCCACAAACTCCACATAGAGTCCACATGAAGTGTATACTTAAATAGAATGGCCTCCCAGTTCCAAAACCCCTAAAAAGCTTCAGATAATCTGTCTACTAACCCCTTGTTTGCCTGTCCTCCCTCCTATTATATCCGCCTATATATGTTCCCGTATTACTACAATACACAACAACAAACAGGAAGACTATATGGACTGTTTAGGAAGACGCAAACAAACAAACAAAAAACAACAACCATGACGTCTCACCTCGCAAAGTCTTCCAGCGCTTCCTTCGAAGACCTGTCTACTGGCCGGCCCAGGTCAGCAGCTGAGATCTCCACACCTTCTTCGGACATGGCAGGGCCTCCTTGTCAAAGCTTTTGCTATTGTTCACGGCACCTGAAGTCTTTACACCATTTTTTACACCTATATACTGGGTCTATCCTATTACCTGTAACAGTGGATGATGATGGTTAAGAAAGGCCTTGTCCAAAAATAATCATGATTGTTCACTGTACCACTGAAATCACAAGACGCTTCGTCTTTCAACCAATTCTACCTGCCCTATGTGGGCTCCAAAGCAATGAGCCAGAATGCATCAGGCGTTGAAACTCATTTACAGTATCTCCGGTGTCTTTGAATGAACCAGGCGGTGTTTCCGAACTCTTGATCATCCAGCCTAGCTGGCAGCTAACCACGTGCTCTGTCAAGTCCGAACAAAGAGTCCAAAGAACTTCAAAACACTGAGGCGCTTGTTGGACTGTTTAGTCGAAATCACAATGACTCCTTCAGTCCACATTGGTGCCGAAAGAACTCAGCAGCTCAACGGTCCAACTGGCTTCAACCAGCTCTTTTTGCCAAGCACATCTGTGTTCGCCATCATCTGTGTTCGCTCTCGTCTGGTGTATCCTGCGGGCTGATGAAGAAGTACTCTCCATCTTCTCCGTTGATCCAGCATGGTCGCCTAGAGGCCCCAGAAAGGGAGTCGCAAACATGTTCAGGATCTCTCCGTCAATGTCAAAGCGCATTCTTTATCCCATGGCATGGTTGACAAAATTGCAGCAAACATGACGTGCTCTTTAGCCATTGGTGCTGACAACTCGCCACGTTCCTCACGTTCGAAGCTCCGAACGTCTTCAACATCTTCAACTCACCGAACTGTTCTCGCACCGAGTGACTCCAACTCTTGCACCTGTGTGGGCGTGACCAAGCTCCAAGGCTCCTGCAACAGATGGGGTCATCGAGATCGAGATCCGACATCACTCCACACGTGAATCGCTCGAAGGAGGCGATTGACTCGTGGGCTTTTTGCTCAAGCTGTCAAAATCAACGATATAGATATAGACAAATGATCAGACCAACAGGAATGAAAGAATGGTTATTTATATAGCAGTTTACACATGAAAAACAAGCAAAGGCATCAAGAACTAGCTGTACAAAGTTAGGCCTATCACTGTGGTGACTAGTCCGGATGAGCTGGCAGGGCAGTCTGCTTCAAGCCATAAGCCTGTTGTGCAGCCACCTTACGAGTGCTACTCTGAGCTGGCTGATGGGCTCAGTACAAACACAGTGTACAGAGGAAAGGGAACTCCTTTGTTACGAGACACACTTGCAGTTTTTCTGCTCAAGTTTGCTCCGCCTCTCAGTGCTTGCAAGCTATGGGTGGGCCAGGCTATCCTCCGTTGCCTGGCTCTCTTTGCGGTTCTTGCTTTATTCTCTTTGATTTGAAGTTAAGAAGTCAAAATTGGGTTCACTTCTTGCGGAGATTGGCTTTTCTCGAGCACAAATTATCTTTTTTGAAAATTATATGTTTTAAACTTAAGAGGTGCTTCTGGAGCCTCACAGGTGTTTCTTTTCAGCTGCAAACCGGTACTTTTCAAGCCTCAAGCCAGGTGTGGTACCCACCCGCCACAACTCGTCCGATGCCCGGCGCCCATCTCCCGGTGCCCCGTCCGGATTCATCTCAACAAAGCCGTCTTCAGAGCCATCGTCTCTTGTGCACCACCAGGCAAAGACGCCCTCTGAGAGCTCAAACCTCCCAGTGGCGACCCAACGTTGCATGAGTCTGAAGTGTCTGGCAGAATGACAGAGTTGTGTCGTCTTGCCTGAAAAATGGGACGACCATGAAAACCACACACCCTAGGGTTCCATTTGCCAGTCTGGAACTGTACAGAGGGTGGTCCTGATCTACCACACGGAAAATTCCGCCACGAGACTCGCCCATTCCACTGCTGTGCAATGAGACTCGCCTCACCCACTCCACGTGACTGCTTGACAAACCATCAGGCAAGTCGCCCGGATCATCCTTGGTGCATTCCTCGGTAGGATGCGGCAGTCTTGGCAAAGCAGTCTTGGCGTGAGCAGTCTTGGCAATTAAGTCGTTCTATCGATATCAATCATGCCAAAGGAACACACTGTAAACCGTAAACCTAACCTATCAATCTAAATCGCGGCCATGGCCCGTTTCATCATATCGTTTCCTCCACTTGTGCTGAAAAAAAAATAACGGCCTCAAATGCCAAACGCAGGCGTACTAACGAGAGCACCTCACTGATGTCGAAGTGCTCGGTCGCGGACGCAACAGCACCTGGAGCTCCAGCTGTTTCTGCTGTCGGTGCTGCTCAGCTGCTTTAAGCTGACCCCATTTGCACGTGTTTGTATGCACGATTCAAACGATTCACTGATTAGCTGGCACAAATCCCGGATCGAGGATGATCGCAGGATGGCGCTGACTCTACGACCTCTACGCATGTTTCTCCAAGTACACAGATAGAACGTGTTTGAAAGAAGCCGCAAACACACACACACACACACAGAATCACAAGCACCCAAGCATCAATCGAAAAACAACGGTCAGACGGTCAGACCAGAGCTTCAGAAGCATTTGATGCAGATTGCACATGACCGGTCCTATATGTTCTATCCTCGGCGTTGGCACAAGGTGGGCCTCGCATCTTGTTTCTCTTGGCAGGCACTGGAATGGCCTCCTGTTCAAATGATTCTGCTGCGTTTTGCGATGTCCGTGGCCAAGAAACTTTCTTTGGGCAAGCAAAGTTGACTAAGATTGACAGAGTATCAGTCTAAAAGCCACAGAGGGTCACTATTCCTTGTGTTCCCACTGTTGTACTTTGCTTCTGAACTTCAGCCTCTCCTCGAAGGGGCTTTCCACCAATGGAGGCTCAGGGCTAGATGCCCGTTTTCGCCACTCCATTCGATTTCCTCGCAGCTTGCATCGAATCTGCATGTAACTGAATGTCTGCCAAAGCGTCCGTAAAACTAAATATCAAATACAAGAAGAACAACTCCCGAATATCTCTTCGTCTCTTCGTTCCGCTCGCGCCTTTTGAAAAGCGCACAGCTGCGCGTTTGTGCAGGGCTCGAATTTCAAGGCGGCCGCCTGGAAGACTCGGCACAGCCGTGGATGCCGTGTCGCAAGTGGCCTTGTCTAGCCCAGGGGTGCCCAGGGGTGCCGCCGCTAGAGTATGCTAGAGTAAGAGGGTAGGCCGGTAGCTACTAAACACGCTGTAGGTAGGAGGCAGGATAGCTCAGGCTCGCACTGTTCATTTGGCAGTTGTTGTCAACAGATTGAACCTAAAGATTTTCAGAATCAGGGATCAAACAATAGGAAACATGAGACCGTGGCTTGAAACAACCCAGGTGGCCGCATTGCAATCTCCACACCTTGCTCGCGGCACTCAAACCGTGGCTGGTCTTTGGAGTAGCTCTCCTTGACCACCTCACCTCGGTGTCTTCTCAACACTGGGCTGGAATAAAGGCCAAAGCGAGAAGAATCTACTCTCCTGGTTTTTACGTATCCTGTCCCATGACAGACTACATGCCGATTTTCCCCACGGGCTATGTGAGCATGTTTTTTTGACAAATATCAAGCTTGCTGAGATTCATGCAGGGACATGTTAGCATTGTCCACCCACAGATACCGCTGCGCAGTGGGCAGCATGGTGGAGTGCTAAGCCCTAGGATATCCCGCTCTAGAGCCACACCTATTGCAGGAAACCGGGCTGTTCCCTTGCCAAAGCTCAGCACCCCCCACCTAGATGTTTCATAATGGTTTTTGATTATGTTTGTCTAGATTCCCAGGATCACATTGCAAGCCAAAGACCTCTGCGCCGCTAAGCTGTTCAAATCATAAGTTTCCTGAAACAACTTTTGAATTGCTAACGTGTCCTGCTGATGGGTCTGATCTTCCAGGTTAGCCGTTGTTCAATGCATTTGTTGTCATTGTTAAAATCATTTGCAACCGTTTTCTCCGGTCCTTCTCCAGGAAATACCGCACCAGAGCTGAACATGTTAGGGACTAGTCCCAAATGCGGACACGTTTATCTGGAAGAATGTATGACAACTTATGACAGCGGGGCCCTTTTTCGGAGTGCCTTTTCTTCTTCGATCTAACTCGCCCCCCATCAGCCCATGGCATGCGAACATCCGTCCAGCGGCGAACATCCGCAGCCGCGAAGTCCACAAAGTCGTCGAGCGAGAGGAGCTCGGTCAGGGGCACCCAGCCGTCGGCGTCCATGACCTGGAGGCGATCGTTGCGGCGGAGTCTTCCTCCGACATCGACCGGAGGGGATCAAGCGTCGCCGTCGGCGGAAACTTCGAGAAATCGACGTGGCGCAGAAACCCACGACTCATTGGATGTGGCATTTGAAGCCTTGGCATCGCTACTCAAGAAGCTACTAGGGGCTCCCGAACGGGGCTCCTGGCCTTACTATGGAATGGGTTCCCCTTTCGATTCGTTCCTTGGGTCTCACCATCCGGAATGAGGTCTTGCAGCAGAGTCACGACACCCATCCGGCGAAAATAATCTGGTTTGTACCGCAACAACTTCCCCATGAGTCTGGAAAGAGGCATCAGCCGATCTGGCAGGTCACCTTGGAATGAACAAAGTCTAGGTACAGGCTCAAAGAACTCTTGATAAAGACTGCCAGCTGGGAGACCAAAGCCATTTCTACACCTTTCGGCAACAACTTCATACGTTTTCACATTCCATTTGCTCCCACAGACCAAAAAAATTACCACACCCAAAAACAACCAAATTATCCAAATTTATCTCAAATTCTACATTTTGTGGTCAGCGGTGGCGTGGGTGCTCTGGCCGCATGATTTTACACTTGTCTCCCACTGTCGCCACTCGCTTGTGGGTGCTTTGGCAGCGTGATTTTTCACCCAACAGGTTTACCTGAGGGTTTTGAAAGGGGCGCGTACCCGGCACGCGTGATCTTACACTTGTGTTCCATTTGTCTCCAGTGCGCTCTGGTGCTCTGGGCTGCATGATTTGATACTGGTTCCCCAAACAGGTTTACCTCACACTGATCGTCTAGCTTGCAGGTTGGTGCTCTGAACCGTTGTCCCGACATCTAGACCTCTGTGTCCTGGAGTGGTTCCACCCAGGTGCAGGTGTGTGCTCTCTGAAGCCCTCTGTCTCCTGTGCGCAATGCTCACACTTATGCACTTTCATTCACTCATTCACTCACTCACTCACACTCACTCTCCCTCTCACTCACACTCTCACCCATACTCACTCACACTCACTCTCACTCTCACTCTCCCACTCTCACTCACACTCACTCTCACCCACACTCACGCTCACTCACACTCACTCTCACTGTCACTCACACTCGCACTCACTCACTCTCACGCTCTCACTCACAATCACACTCCCTCACACTCTCACTCTCCCACTCTCACCCTCACTCCCTCACACCCTCACACTCACCCACAGCAGCAGCAGCAGCAGCAGCAGGAGGAGGAGGAGTAGTAGTAGTAGTAGTAGTAGTAGTAGTACTAGTAGTGGGCCAAATTGCTCTGTCAGAAACTGCGACAACCCAATCCAACTTTGCAGAGATGCCGCTATGTTCATTTTTGGGGCGCACCGACCCAAAATTGTACCAAAAACAGCCAAATTTGTCTCAAATGTACATTTTGTGGTCCGCTGTGGCCTCTCGCATCTGAAGTGAGAACCACCGACCACAATGAACTTAGCGGCATCCAAAAAGTGCAAAAGGAAAGAAAACAGACCAACCGACCCCGAAAAAAGTCGAAAAGTGAAGGAAAACAGACCGAGTGACCACCGAGTGACCAAAATAACCGTAAAAAAAAGGCAAAGAGACGAACGGAGTCAAAAAATGAAAAAATGCACTGTTGAGTCTGACCAAAAGTCTTCTCGGGGTTAAGGTTGTCGTGGTTATGGACCCCTCTCGTGGTTAAGGTCACCTGGTCGTGGTAGAGTGCTGGTTTCGCTCCAAACAAACAGCACCGATGAGTCCACTGAAGGCAACAACCAGCTTGCAACACATCGAAACAAGGCAGCCACGAATCGCCAGCAATCGCCAGCCATCATGATAGCAGACTCAGCTATCACTAGCTGGCTTGGCTCGAGCAATGGATGGGTCAGAGAGCAGCCGGCGAAACATGACAGCTTTGCAAAAACAACACGATACTGGGTTGGAGCCCATCACTACTAGGTGGGAGGCCATCACTACAGAGGTTGGAGGCCATCGCTATTAGCTTGGAGGGAGAGGCGGTCACTAAGATCTAGGGCAGCCATCAGCAGCCTGCAGGCAGGTTTTGATGTTGTGCTGTCTTTGAGAATGAAGCAAAGCCATTTATGGTCCATAACAAAGACCTGCGGCGATCAAGAATGAAACGGAGATCACACCTCCACGCTGCGCCCGGTCAAGTCACCCCGGGTGCCAACTGGTGCCAAGTCACCCTGGTCATCGGGATCCACGCGAGATCTGCAGTACTCAACGGACGCCGCTTTCATGGAGTTGGGAACTTGTTTGTACATTGAAAGGTAAGCCCTTTGCTCCGTTCGTAGCTTCTTGCTCCGTTCGTAGTAAGGCCAGGAGCCCCGTTCCTAGCGTCCTTGCTCCTAGTAGCCCTTTGCTCCGTTCGTAGCTTCTTGCTCCGTTCGTAGTAAGTTTTCTTAGGTGTCCCCTTTTTGGATCTGTGAACACTCATATACATGCGTGAGGGTACGAGCACCCTGAGTCATATTTGTCAGTTCTCACACTGTGTGTGTGTGTGTTCCAGGGCACAAACAATGGCTGCGAGACAATGATGCATAAAGGCAAGGCAGCACAACACGTCAACGAATAAGGGCCACCTGCATCTACTATATTATAGTAGGATGCAACGTGTAAATCTACAGTGCAGCTCTTGACCTTGAAAGGTTTCGTCTGGTCATGGGCTCATTGAAAAAGTTCCCAATGTTCTAAAATGTCAATTGTGATCCCCTCACGCTCACACTCTAGGAAGAAGCAACATTTCTGCCACAGCTCGCAGAAGGGCAGACACTGTCCAAGCGAACAAATCAAAATACAAGTGCAGCATTTCTGCCAAGCTTCACCTACATGTCATGGCTTTGCCAGTGGCACAAATCAATATGCTACAGTAAAAACATATCGTACTGCAAGACTCACTACCCTACTGCACTCTCTACGACCGAAACGTATCCGAAGAGTGCCACAGGCCGCGGCCCAGCCGTGGACTCCTCAGCCGCGTCACTCGCTGGTCGACTCCTCGGTCGACTCCTCGGTCGACTCCTCGCCCGACGTGGTGAGTGTCCTCGTCATGGGACACTTCCGGTCACCTGGCCCCAGGGCAACAGCGCTTTTTCTGCAAAAAACGACGGCGCCGTCACGGCCGTCAATAGCCCGTGGCAACACGCGCCTGTTGCTTTGAGCTCTCGAGATATTTCGTGTCACTTAGCTGTTGTTTGTTTTGTTTGGAGACCGTCAGTTTCCAACAACAGCGCTCAAGGTACCTGCTGTGTGACAGCAAAGAGCAGAGCAGGCATAGCACGTGGCTGCACCCGCTAAGAATGGCCGGAAAATGGCCAACAGGATCCTCGGAACAAGAATTACCAGCTTCAGACATAGGTTTTGAAACACAGAGTACCATTGAATCATGGGATGTCACATGATTATAGTGTCAGTCGGCCAAGAGCCTGCCATGTAAGAACAGGGGTATGGTGGCGCCAAGTTGCAGCACCCAATGCGATGGGCAGCGGTCTCCAGTGGTGGGCCTGCCACACTAGAAGGCTCAATGAGTAGCTTTGCGCCCGTTCGAAATCAGCTTTGAGCTGCATGAAGTTAAAGACAAAAGCGGGAATTGCGCTTTCGGAGTTTCGGCTCAAATGCCGGAAATGCTTTGGCAAAAAAGGCTCGGCTGTGAAATGCCATCTTGGTAGCAACCTAGCGGTCACAAACGAGAGCAATATTGAGCCCATACCCGTCCAAATATCTGAGAAGTCTTCAACACACGGACACTCATCAACAGCTAGACTTCTTGCTGCCCGGTTCTTCAAAGAGTCGGTTAAAAAAGAAGCTGTGTTGACTTCATAGCGCGATCCTGAAAAACCGTGTTCGGGGACAGCGGCCGATTGGTTTATATCACAAAACTGTGTTCATTTTCAATCGCCAGCTTTGCACCCCACAGCCACCACTTGCTACCAAGTGGGCGCTGGTGTGCAGCGGCTGCTTGCTTTCCACGTGCGCAAACCCGGTCTAAAAATGAACAGGAACTTGAGGCTTGGCGCTGTGATATGTTTTTGTGTGCCCTAGTGATCGGCTTGGCGCGGGCTTTGCACCTGCAGAATTGCAGCGGAGGAAATGTCTTTTTCATTAAGTCTCTCCCCTGTCCACTGGGAGGGCTGAAGAGCCTGGTCAGCACAGATGCTGCACACTTCTCCAAAAAGACTAATGAAGTATTCGGACAGTCTTGTCAGCTCATCACCTCAACTTTCTCAAAAAAACTGACTTTAAAAAGAAAACTCCTGGCAAAAAAAAACGAGGCAGCCAAGAAGCCAACCGACAAAAGTTTCTTGATCACATCACATGGTGCAACCTGAGGTTGGACTAACATGTTGTCCATTGTTCACCCCAAAAGACTTGGCGCCTGTGTATGTGCAGGAAGTGCATGCCACTCAGCCTAGGTGGCAAACTCCAATGGGGAGAGTCCATGAGACCTACAAGCGTTTGACTGCCATCTCGCTCAAGTGTTTAGCGAACCGTCTGCACTAAGCGAACCATCAAGGTCTCATCTTCAGCAAAGGTCTATTCCTCGCTTAGCATGGCAAGGGGCATGTGGTTTTCGATCTGCATAGTGAGGGGTATGCCAACCACCAGCATGGCCAGGAATAGCCAAGCCTTCACCTCGAGAGCAGCCAGTAGCCAAGTCAACCGTGCATCTCGCCATACCAGTCAACCGGGCTTTGACCACTGCAAGCAAGCGGCCGCATTGAGAGCAAGTTGTGGACCTGTTTCTTGCAGTCTCCAAATTAAAAAGGGCAGCGCCACGGTGGAGATTGCTGTGATTCCCTCAGACCGCAAGAAACTCGAATCACATTGCACTGAAAACGTGGCTAGATGAATACTCCAACCATTCTGCCACGGAGCACTTCAGTCATGACTCTTACAGAAGTCTTGCTCGTGACGGTTCGAACATGCAAAAACACGTTCCAACGGGCCGTGAAGGACCATGGCAGCAGACCCCACCCCACTTCGCCGCTTCGCCCAGCAGCAGCTGCAATCCAGAGCCACTTCGCCCAGTAGTGGTCAGGGCACTGGCTTTGAACTTCGGCCGCCCCACCGGTGTCCAACATTGACATAAACCTAAGATTCATTGAAATACAGGTCAACTAGCTGGTCTCAGATCTTCTAAACCCGTTTGGAGGTGCGCGAAGAACATGTATGACTAAATAGTCTGAATCACTAGCTTTGCAAAGCTGCGCTGGGGGGCACGGACTTGCAGCTAGATTCTAGATTGAAACCTGCGCATGGCACGAAGGACTTCGTACAACGCTGCCGTTCAAAAAACAAACTACCACCCCACAGTACAATGATACAATCCAAACAAAATAAATTGGAAAACACACGCTAAACGAAGCCGTTGCGAACCAAAGGATGGCCACCAGCAATGTCTTGAAAAAGATGTCCTCGCAACATCACCCAGGGCAAAAAGAATGAACACACTGCCGTGCCACAGGCTTCAATCCAGACAGGACATGTTTGCATGTTCTTGTCATCTGACATAATTTTCCCAAAGTAGAGGTCTCACTTCACATCAACGCGACCTTCAAATTTTTCCAGCTCTTTGGACGGTGAGGAAAAATGCATTGTCACATCAAAAAGCTATGTCGTCTCTTCGCATAATTCCTTCATAAACGAGGTCTTACGCCCGGTCCAAGTCTCTCTGGTCGCTGAGCCGCTGATATCTGCGCCGGCCTCGAACGAGCGCCGCAGAGAATCGTTGTAGGCCCCGGCTTTCATGAGAACCCGGATGGCCGTGTCCACATCTTCCTGCGAACGACAAAAGAATGACTGACTGCCAAGAGGGGAAGAACAAAAGCAACATCGAGCTGTGTGTTGCACCGAACACTGGAAGTTGCCATTGGCAGGAAAAGTAAAAAGTTGAAAGCGGGCCCCGCACCAGCTGTTGAAACTGGGAGAAGAACGAGAAAAAAGCTGGGCGACCCCACAAGCTGAAGAGGAACAAGAAAAAGTGGGGCCTCGACCAGCGATTGAAACTTGCCCCCTCGAAAAAGAACAAGAAGAAAGCTGGGCCCCCACCAGCTGTAGGAATTTGCCCTTGGAAGAAGAGAGAAGAAAGCTAGGCCCGCACCAGCTGTTGAAACTGGGAGAAGAACGAGAAAAAGCTGGGCGACCCCACAAGCTGAAGAGGAACGAGAAAAAGCGGGGCCCCGACCAGCGATTGAAACTTGCCCCCTCGAAAAAGAACAAGAAGAAAGCTGGGCCCCCACCAGCTGTAGGAATTTGCCCTTGGGAGAAGAGAGAAGAAAGCTGGGCCCCCACCAGCTGTAGAAACTTGCCCCTTTAAAAGCAAGCAGAAAGCGGGCCCCCACCAGCTGTAGAGAGAAGAAAAGTGATTCGGATTGCGCTTGACGGAGGCCAATTTGACTTGGTGTTGGCGCAAGAGATCTCTCTTTGCGGCGATTCCCGTATAAGACGAAGCATCCGTTTTTCCCGTTTGCCGTCATGAGACTCGTGGTGTTGGTCACCATGGAGTCGGTTGCTTTATGAAACACAGACTTTCCGTCCATCGCCGACTTGGAAGCTGTTCCTACTCTTATTGGAGGGCGCGCTCGTGGTTGAGGCTGGATGCGCTGACAAGGACAGGGCCAGTCTCTTGGCCTTGAGGGATGCCCATATTCCTTCGCGTTTGAAGGGTTTTCGGTGTGTCAACTGTGGGATTACTTCATTGCTAAGTCTCATATCGTGATTGCCCATCACCTTACGTTGGCTTTTGCAAACAAAGGCCGCCTAAGGGAAGCAGTCAGGCACGCTTGCGGGCGCCTTTGACATGGACTTGTCCGGAGGCCGTCTCGCGTGACGTTTGCCGTGAACACAAGCTTGGAATCTTGAACCTGTTGTCGCAATTCCAACCGATCGCAGATCGGATTGATGAAGCTTGGTACCGCTTTTTGTCGCAAACTTCACAGTGTGTTGCGTTCCGTCGGGCGAGCGCATGGTAGCGCTGCCACGCGGGCCACGAGAGCGGATGTGGCAGAGAGCGTAAGAGCTCCTGCGAAGTCGTGGACGGCGGATCGAAAAGTAGAGATGACTGCAGTCGACTGGAATTGCAAAATATGAAAAGTGCTCGATCGGAGGGCCGTGGGAAGGCAGTTGGTGGTGGCACAAACTAAAGCGCAAACTACAAAAACGAGTGTGAGTAAAATAGAGTTGCATGAGTGGTCGGCGTAAGGAACGAACGGCGGCGCGACGGGCGGGGTGTGGCCTCGGCGGTGGGCAGCGGCATGGCCGTGGTGGACCCGGTATACTCCCAAACAGCTGCGAAAAACGAAGCATCAAAACGAAAACGGACGTGGGAGTGGCATAACCTCGCAGCCTGAACATGAGCACGTGCACCCTTTTTCTTCCCTGCGTGAAGCATCCTCAGCGACGACCCCTATAGATACTATAGAGAGTCAGGGGCGGGAACTGCTCGCACCTTGTCCCAGTTGCAGCCGCTCCGTTTTCGCGCGCCCATCGCACCAGTCCGGGGCGCGATTTCCCACACCCACTGGTACGCCGCGGACCCTGCTCGTCTGCTCCCCGTCCAGGCATCTTCCGATGCCTGGTTTGACCCTTTTGGCGATGCGGCACAGGCTTTGCCACGCGCGTACTTGGACGGCTTCGCCGCCGCCAGCCGTCTCTTAGACCAACATGCTCCTCTACGACGTACGCCACACTGTTGTCCAATGTGGCCTTCACGAACGCCGCCCGGCCACGTGTTGGAAGGGTTTCTTGGGACGTATTCATTGCTGCCGCTTAGGGTTTTGTGGCTGGGCTCTGTGGCTGGGCTCTGTGTCCCTCCTCTTGTCCTCCTCTTGGCCGCGCGGGGCTCGTGCCCCTCAACTCTGTGTTCCTCTTGTCCTCCTCTTGGCTGCGCCCCTGAAGTCTGTCAACTCTGTGGGCGCGCTGTGTGGCTGGGCTCTGTGGCTACAAGTCCATATATACATATACAGTTCAATCCACAAAAATAAAAGACCTCCCAAGCCCACAAACTTCTATAATGCTGGGCTCTGTGTCCAGGCCTTGTCCTCCTCTTATCCTCGTCTTGGCCGCGCCCCTGAACTCTGTCAACTCTGTGGCTGGGCTCTGCGGTTGGGCTCCAGGCCTTGTCCTCCTCTTGTCCTCCTCTTGGCCGCGCCCCTGAACTGTGTCAACTCTGTGGCTGGGCTCCGTGGCTGGGCTCTGTGTCCAGGCCTTGTCCTCCTGAACTCTGTCAACTCTGTGGCATCTTGTCCGAACAAGTGCGCCTTGCGGTACTCGCCTGCTGCCGGGTCCTTTTCGCGAAAGGAAACTTGCAAAACTGGCGTCGGCTTCACGCTTGAGCATACGCACACGACGCACAGCACCCTGTGTTCCAAGGTTCGCAAAATGAGTGCGTTGCCACCTGGTGAGACCGAGGCTCAGCTTGCCACCTGGTGAGACGGAGGCAAACAACAACTCAGCCAATATCGCTCAACAACAATCTCCGCCTGCGGCGGCAACGGCTGCGCCAGTCCGATAAGGGTTGTTATAACAATTGCCTACAAAACTCCCAAGTGATCCCTCAAGCGTTGATCACATCTTGAAGCGTCCGGAACTTGGAACTCATTGACGTGGTTTGGGATCGCAATTACGATTGGCAGAGATCCCTTGAGTTTGTCCGGCCACAGCTGCCGGCTCGACCGCAAGCAGACCGTGGCTTCTGCGGCCAAAATGTGGGGCGCGAGCGCTGCCCGATCGCTGACCTGCCGCCTTGCGTCTTTCACGAGGCGCGCACCATTCTCTAAGTCATTGAAGAGGAGGGTATGATCCTAGTCCCTGGTGTTTAGCTAGACAGACTCACATTTTCAATTGTCTTCCAAGCGCCACCCCCACAGTTTGGTTCCGCGTTCAGGCCAGAAGTGGGTTGACCGCGAAGGAAGTCCAGTAGTGGCTCGATGGATGGTGGCCCTCTCATGCCAACCCTAAGCTTGCCACTTCAGCCTTTCGTGCCTTCGGCCTGCCTGATGGGATAGGATCTTGTTGGAGTAATCAACGTCGCATCTTGTATTATGGTCTATAGCTTTCCCACAGCCGCAGTTCATGGACAGCTCCATTCCTCAGGGCTAGGGCAGCTGGAGTTCCCTCTCCTGAGGTGACTTCAAGGGAATCGGCGTCGCGACAATTCAGATGCTGAAAGGGTCGTCGGGGCGCCAAGCGACGGCAGCGACGGGTCTTGGCCGCACAGGCGCCGTCGCACGCAGCGTGGGGGTGGTCTTTTCGGAGCCTGCCAAAGCGTGCTTTTGCCCGCTTCCAAAGCCACATTTGCCGTGGCCTTGAGGCCTTGAAGGAAACTGTGAATGCCAGCATGGCCCTTCACAATTCGCTCAACCTGGAGCTCCGAGTTTGTCTTTTGAGCGTCTCTGCCGCGCCAACTTAATTGGTTTGCAGTGGCAGCCGGTTCATCCGTGGGTTTGGTGGCACCCTGCTTTACAGCGGCACTTTAAGGTTGAATAGGCAACAGCACTGGCGCGATTGGCCCGAACTCAATCCCCACCTTCGTGAAAGTTTCCGCAGGAACCTCTGAGCCGTGATTCAATCTCCGGAAAGTTTCCAGTTTTTGACCGGCCCACTTCAAGTTCTACTACTTCCTTCTCGGTTCAAAATTTCTTTCGCAAAGCGACCTGGTTTGTCGACCGCTTGAGCCCGTGAGGCGTCGTCATGCTCGTCCTTCAAGAGCATCACTTGCACCTGATCAGATTGAACACTGACTTTATTCTCTCTGGCATTGGTTGAAACTTCTGCGCTCCAAACTTCAGCAAGGTGCCTGCAAGAAGCGGTGTCCAGAGTTGGCGCCGCCGCCGCCGTTTTTGCTCAAAGTATTCGTCTGCTTGCTCCCATTCAGCTTGCGTGAAAACTCCTATGGCAAAAATTGCCAGTCCACCTGCAAGATGAGCTGTGGAATCTGAACTCCAACTTCTCAACCTACACCGCCACCCCTGCTGCAAGTAGTTGGGCCCCCACTGGCTTGCACAGCTCAGTGGTTACCTTTTCAGCCACCCCAGACACACCGGTGCTCCGCTACCATGCAAAGGAGTTGCACAGCTAACCCCCGTTTTCCTTGGAAGCCTTTAAGGGCTACTGTGTGAAGTGAAAAGTGTGTCATGCTTGACATCTGTGACCTAGCATGTAAAGCAAAAATTCTGCGAATTCTACAAACGATACCCCAAATTGATTCTCTGTGAATTCTCCATGAAATCCACACGCCGACGTCCTCGTGGCCCGCAATCGCCTCGCGGATACGGACCTCATCTGCTGGACTGGTGCACGTCGCGTCATCCAACGTTTGAAAGTCCAAATGTCCAGCGCGCAAGGTGAGCTCCTTCCATCGGAGCAAAGGGTCTTTGACGGTCGAACGGGTGATGGGAAAGGCTGCAACATGGTGATAGGTCCACTTTTTGAGCATTTTGGAAAAGCATGTTCACCCCGGCCTTGGTCTCCAGAGAATATTGATTCAGCTGCGCAATGAGGCAGATGTTGAAGGTCAGAATTGCAATTGGAATAAAGAAATGTAGGAAGATGTCCCAGTTGGAGAGGTTCTTATGCGGTAGTCGCATCCAAGGTATTGCCATGGCCGAATCACACAGGATCAAGAAGGTGTGCATCGCACGCAAGCCCTGGGATCTGGTCCAGAAACGGCATTCTTTGCCGCACAGCCCTGTCACTGCATAGGTCAAAGCGGAAAGCCTCACAAGAGTTGCCAATTCACGGATTTCCAACGGCAGGATGTTTCTCATCCCTTCCCCCCTGCATTTCATGACCGTCAGGGCGGATGGCAAAAGACCCTTGAGCAAGACTTGGTTCTTAAGCCCAAACATCCAATTTGATGCTGCGCAAAAAGAGCCAGGTTGGCCTACCTTTGCTACGGCAATGTCTCTACGCCATCCAGCTTAAGGTCTGGCCAGCCTCTTTCAGTAACCTTTGGCCTTTTGGCGAAGAGGTACTATTGGATTTGGACCATGGTTTGTTGTCAAACAACTTTTATTGTTTATGTCATGCGTTACCACCAGCATATTCGGCCTTTCAGGGCAACACCACACCGCTGATTTGCACTGCAGAGAGTTTACAAAATGCTGAATATGTTTGATGCATCAAGAGGCATCGTCAGCGCGCAGCACAACGCCTAAGCTGGCTAGGGAACACTAGCGCCATAACCTCCGACGAAAGCCTCTCACACCGGGTTGTCACTTCAATTAGAACAGTTTTGCGCCGTTCGTGCAATTGAGGCACCATCCCAATTTCAATGTGTTGCTCAAAGTTCTTCTTGAGAGGCAAAGAAGACAGAACTGTGGACAAACAGCCCAAAAGAAGACCAAAACCTCAGACGAAGCAACGATGTCGACGGGATCTCTGGATCAACCACCGACCCACAGATGGAACATTCCGTTGGGCGCTTTAGCGCGTGTTGCCCCCAACATCTGCGGGATTTCTGCAGGGGCGCAGTGGGGGTCATCCAAATGCCCAACGTTGATTCGTGTGTTGAAACAGTTGCAAAAACAATTGTTTCATGTTTCGTTCAGGATGTTGGTTGGTAAACCAAGGCGCAGCAGGGCATGATGACGGTGGGCCATATCGCCTTAAGCAAGACCAATGGAGGTGGCTTTGTAGGCAAAGAGCAAGTCTTCTGAAATTGAGTTCCTTCAGGGTCAGTGTTCAAGCCTTCCACACACCCGTTCAAGTCAATTGGCGGAAACCATGTGGAATCAGTGCAATCTGTCGAAGCTCCTAAGTATGCTTCGTACACACACCACAAGCGAGAGTAAATGCTGATTTGCTTGTTGGGAATGATCAGCACGTGAGAAGCGTCTTGCAAAGCTTTTGCAAAAGGTGTCTCCAGCAGCGGTCGGTTCTCTAACCAAGTGAAGAGGCTGTTTTGCGGGTTGGCCAAAAGGCATAAGTACCTCAGGACATCTGCGCGTCGTGAATGTCAAGGTCGTTGGGTTTCCGAAAACCCGGTTCCCGCGGCACGAGGTCACAACACACTTGATCAAAATAGAGAACTAGACAACGCACGGCCGGGAGCGTGGTAATACAAACGCACCAGTATTTATAGGTATACATCATAGGAAGGTCTGTCAAGAACACCTTTTTTGAGACTTGCTGTGGAGAGGTCAATGGCATAGGTGTACCTGGCACTCAGAAACGATTACAGTAGTCGACGTAATTTCGCCACACTCACTAAACACAACAATGTAACACCAAACCTTGTGGACACGGCCAATCATCCCACACGCGCTTGCACATACACACACACACACATGCTTTTCGTTTCCCAATGGCTCAGAGCCACGCAAACACCGAGGCCTCGCAAAACCGCATGGCACAGCGACATTACAGATGTACCTTCGCCACACCGTGAGGCAGAGACTCAGTGCAACAATGCAACGCCAAGCCGCCAATCATCCCGCTGCCCAGTAGCGAGTTCTCAGGCCAGCTCCCAGAAGGTGCTGCCCATAGCACTTCTGCATTACACGGTTGCCATTTTTGGCCGCACTAGATTTGCACTAACGCTCTCGATCTCCGCAGAGGGTCACGCTTCGCAAGCCCTGTCTGGCCAGGCCGCTGACTAAGAACTGATACAAAGGCCGAGATGCGTCACGCACGCGCGAACTCAGATATGATTCACTACATGTTAGTTGTTAGTGTGTATATATATATAGGATTTGCCATATCCATGTACTACTGGAGCAAGACCCCAGCGAAAGTTAGATAAGATATTCTGCAGGCTGAAGCAAGATCCCAGCGTAAAGTTACATTTGCAAGATATCACTGCACTACTAGCTATATTTTGCAGGTATGCGCACTCAAGCAAGGTCCCCACCAATTCACTGAAGCAAGATCCCAGCACCAAAGCAATTCCTAAAACCACACCTGCAAGCTGCAAATGTACTTGTGGCATACCTACAAATGCAGTCTCAAATGTATTATATATATAATGCTGATCTGTAACACAAACTCTTTCTACAAGAAGAACCCTTCGCAACGCTTCCGGCAAAAATGATGATGGGTGACCTGATCAAATGATGCTAGATGTGCTTGTGTTCCCGGCATGACTTTACCCCCTCAATGAACCAACAGTAGAAAAAACCCACCGTCTCCCCCACCAAAGAAAACCCCGTCCCTTAATCTCACTTTGCTTGGCTGAACAACCATCACAACGCTTCCAAATCTCTTCCCTATAACCAGACAAGGTCGCTTTCGTCGATTTCTATATCTGCTGTTCAGTGGAAAGAAGCCTGTTCTCAGCAGCCATTTCAGCCAGTTCAGCCCTGGTTCCATTGTTCTTTTCACCATTTCGGCCATAGCACAAATTGTGGAGCCCATGCCCCCGTGGCCATGCCTGGCGCAAAAGATTGGCCAGCTCGAAGATCCCTTCAGCCCAAGCATGGGAGATGAAGACTTGGCAAGGAAGTCCTTCTGGATGCTTCATCAAAGCCTCGAACTGCCAAAAAGAAGTACAGTAAAAATCGCTCTGGATAAGGGGCAAACAAGAAACAATGGAAGAAAATAAATGAAGGGCTACTGTATCTTACTGTTGGAGTGCAGCAAAAACTTTGACTTGCTGGGCTACTGTATCTCTCTGTCTAGTTGCCTCCCAGGGACGTAACTCATGCCACCCGCCTCCAATGTGATTGGCTTCACATAGTGCTCATTGACAAAGTAAAGGTTGGGACCACAGTGCTCATCATCCTTCGGTAATTGATCCGATGGACCCAGTTGCCCTTGGAACCACAAAGCTTGCACCTCCTGAACAAAGACCTTGAAGTCGCGATAGGTCACACACCACCGTTCCTTGGATCTTTGCGGATTTTCGGCGGTTCCTCGTTGAAAGCATATGTCATCCCGTTTCAAAAGCGCTTTCGAGAACAAGCAATTCCGATTGCTTTGGGCAACACAGAAAGTACATGGGCTTCTTGTTCTGCTTCCACCCCCAAGTCGATTGGCGGGATGGCCCTCTGTCGCAAAGCTATTCCGCTGCAAAGCAACTGCAAGGCAGCATGCCATTGCCTGACTGTACATTGAGTGAAATGGATGCCTCTCTATCCGCTCTCTGTCGCAGTTGAATGGGCATGGTGCACACACCTTAGTCACCCCGGGTTTGTATCCACCTATCTCCCCTAGAAAGACTTCATGGTTGTTGCTTCTTGCAAGTGGATCCCAATCCCAAGTCTCATGAGGACTGGCTCTGGTTTTCAACGCTGCACAATATCCCCAACGCTTTTTCTGGCACAAATGGCGCCAGCTCTCTTAAGTGGACTTACCCGGCACAAACCTGAACACGTTCGTCTGACCTGTATGGCAAGAAAGGCAAACACCACAGAAAACATTGCAAGAAACGTTGCATCGCAAGAAAGGCAAACACCACACATTTCGGGCCGTATCGGGCCGACCAAAACCTATATGGTCATAGTAGTCACACCAAGAGCCAATGCTTCACGCTGGAGGCCATCGCTCTTAGGATGGAGGCCATCGCTATTAGGTTGGAGGCCATCGCTATTAGGTTGGAGGCCATCGTGTCACCGCAGAGTTTCGGGTGGCACTCTCTCATGCAGCTCCATCCGTCATCGCAAACGACACCATGATGCCATGACATGCCGCAAGAAAAGGGGATGACTGGCCAACTCTGACTCTAAACTAAAGTTGCTTTGCTTCTGAAACACATCCTTGGAACCTGATCAGTTTAACTTGAAAAGCCTGAAGCCTGACCTGCTAGCAACACTACTGCTGCATCAATCTTCTCAAAAAGCGGCGGAATGAATCTCCATCATGTTCAAGCTCAGCTCCTGCGATATAGAGCTGTTCAAATAGAAATGAGACAGTGCATGTCAAGAAAGCTTCAGCTCAGCCCATTGGATGTTGATAGCTCAGAAGAAGTGTTTTTGATCCGAAGAAGGTGCATTTCAGAATGCAGTTCAGTAATGACAATCTCCCAAAGTCAGCCAACCCTTAGCAGAATTCTTCCCTGGTTATTCCACCTTCCGGCCTTGGTCATATCTAAACGCCTTGGTCATCTCTAGGCACCGGACACCACCCAAGCAGAAGCCCCGAGGAGGTGCAGACCTTGGCTGAATGAGCCCAGGTTTGCACTCGGGCTTCTTGCATGAGCGGCTAACGGTTAACGATGAACTTGGAGTAAGGTGTTCAATATCTACAGCATCATGTCAGCAACAGTATCATGGCAGAAAAATGTTGTTGAACCACATTTCAAACACAATACATTGTAGAACCGAACTCGTCAAGTAAGAATCAGTTTGAAATGAACTTGTCAGCAACATGCTGCATTGAAGAACCGCAGCGAGCGAAGTGAACCTTCCCGGCATCTGTGGAGGCAGCTGAAGGGTATGTCAATAGATTTTTACTTACTTTGCCTGGCACCAAGAAATCAGATCCGACTGGTGCCTCGCAGATTTCGAGTTCGAATAAATAACAATTACCTTTCAAAAGATCACAGACAGACTACAGAAGACTCCTTCTGATCTGTGAAAGTAAAACCCTCCGGGTGCAGGCACCAAACGTCCAGCGCCGGCCGTGGAGCCTTGGCTGCGAAAAAACAGGAGACCGGTGCCGCACAGAACATCACCCGCGCAGGAGGCCAAATGGAACATGACCCCGTGAATCTCAATGTCTTTGGATTCCTTGGCTCTTTTTGCCGCAAATCGAAGATGCGCCCCTTATCCCTGTAGGTCTCTGGCTGACACCACCGTGTCAAAGACGGAACTTCGACCCGGTCGCGAGGACTTGGCCCTGGGAACGAAGGGCGAGCGAGGACGGATAGCTTGAGCTGAAGACATCGAGTCCATACGAATGCTTGATGGCTGAAATCAATGGGTAAAATAGTTAGCTGGATTTTCTGCAACACACACTATATGCCGCGCAAGGTCCTTGCCAGCTGAGGGAAAAACATAGAACTTCCTCTGTCTATATAACTGAGCCTGACTGTTGACTGTTCTTCCAATTGCGAACAACATTCGTGTCTCTTTCGAACGCCTCGAAGCGAAACGACCACCCGCTGGGCACCCCGACAGCCGCGCCAGGTCCCGGCCAATCTTGGCCTCGAAGTCCAGGCGCTCTTTGGCCTTGAACTGCCAAGGTCTGAGGTCAAATGTGGTGCGCCGTAGGAAATGAGGTCGCTAACAGACATCCCTTGAGAAAACATGTGGTGAGGCACCAGGCACCAACAACCTGGTGTCTGAATACTTGTCATGTAGCAGCTCTGCCTGGAACTGTCGAGAAATCCACCACTTTTTGGTGAAAATGCCACAGCTCGTGCATCGTCGCTGCCGAGTTAGCAGCAAACGATGCAGTCTTTCTCACTCTTGGGCGCTTGTTGCGCCTTGTTGCGCGGGCGTCTTGATCGCCAGCCGCTCACCCTGCAATTCGTCCCATCATACGCCAACGTCTGCAGTAGAAAGCGCTTTAAAACTGTAGCTGACATCTCTGGAGCGGGTCCCCGGTGGAGGACTTTGACCAAAAAGAGAGTGGCAGCATGAAGGTGTTCAACATCATGCTCCACCGTACGGCCGCGGTTGTGCGGGGGGGCAAAAGAAGCCCTTCAGAAGCTTCGCAAGTGTCATGCGGTGTCTCGCTCAGAATTCAGGCCATTCTGAGTTTTGGGCCAATTGGCAGTGGAACTTTGCCAGTCCAATTGGTTCATTATGTTCACTTGCCACACTCAGGTAGCACTGTGGAAAGACCACAAGCGGGAAGTTGAGTGCAGAAAAGATCCCAAACAAATCACAGGCCTGTGATTTGCTTGAACCATCAGCTTGTCGCTTGGAGCGTATTGTTTCATATGTTGTGTCGCACTTGCCTTTTGCAAATCACGTTACAACTTCGAGCATGTCCAATTCTGGCTGCGGCAAGCTTGCAAAGGATCGCACAGTCCCGTCAGCCATGCCCTTCCGTGTCAGTGTCCAGAGACTTGGTGGCCAAGGGTTCCTGGCAAACGGTGACTCAGTGCTGACTGAACGAGCCGATGAAGCGAATCCGAAGGGCCCAGGGCCCAGGCGATGTTCCGAAAACGAATTGGGCACAAACCGAATCCGAAGGGTTTGATGCTTGGAACTCGATCACGCTAGGCTTCCTTGCCCTGAAAAAAACCTCTTCTTGCGCCACACTTTTGTTTTGGCAGCTCACTGCTTCCATTTGCCAGGGCCATGTCGCCAAACAGCTTGCGTCTTGCAGCGTTGCAGGTGACACAAAGAGGCCTTGCACTATATGCAAGTTGCCACAAATCTTGCAAATCTTTGTTGCAAATGTCAGAACCTGCTTGCTCAGTTTCGGAGCAAGACTGAATCTACTTGGTCTCACACCCTACTGGACTCTTCTTGATCTCGCCTGGATTGGTCTAGATCCTGCCCAGACTGGTCTTGATCCTGACCCTGCTGGTCTTTGCTCAAGTTCTGGTACTCTGTCGTAACAAGACTTAGGTAGGCTTGCTTTTCAGGGGCTGCCGACTTTTGCCGCTCCCGCTTTGAGAGCCAAAATAAGGAACGGACATAAAAGGCTAGAACCAAAAGCAAAAAAACTGCAGTTGAGAACAGTGTGATAGAAGCAACTGGCTCCTCATTGGTAACCAGTGCTGACACTGGAATAGAAATTCCACAGCACAGGAGGCAGGCAATGAGGCTTACGTCCACCAAGCTGTCTCGGTGAAGAAGAGCAAAGTAAACTAGGTCATCAGCATCACGCACGTAGTAGATCAAGTGGACCAAAAGAAGGATTGACAAAATGACTGAGATCAGTCCGAAGGTCGCACTCAGGTAGAGACAAACAATTAAGATCTTTTCACCAAGTGTCCTCAAATCGGTCCAGTGGTCAACTGCAGCTGACTTCTGGAAAGGTTGGTTGATCGCTGAGTACAAGACACTTAAAATAAGTGCCCCAACAACTCCCATGTTGGTCCAACTGCTCTGCTTCTTTTCCATCGTCTTCTCCCAACCTTCTTGGATCAAGCTCACGGCAAATTGGTAGCGCTCACCAGAAGACTGTAGCATCATCATGAGAGCGTCACGAAGCTCGGTTGGGTCATCTGAAGACTGCAGCATAGCTTGGACATGGTCAGACCACTTGGCCACCACTCCTTCTGAGAACTTCGCCCGGAACACGTCCATGGGATACGTCTTCGCTTTAGCTGAAGAAAAAGAACTGCGTTCCCAGCAAAGCTTGAGCAAATACACAACGACGGGTGTACTATGACAACTAACAGGTCACTTGTTGCTTAGGAGTTTCAATATTTCAAAAACCTCAACCTCGCGCGGACACTAACAGTTTTGAATCCTGAACAAACATCGGTGCATGGCCGAGTGGCGTAATCATTGTTTTTCGCATAGCTCACTTCCAGCTGGAAGGCTAGCAACGTCAGAAGCCTGCGTTGTTGGGAAAAGGAAACTGGATGAAACTTGCACAAAGAAACCGCCAGAACCGGGCATCCAAACATGTCAAACATGGAAAAGAACCCAGTTGAAAGCCCCAAGAATCGACGTTGTAAAGAATCAGCTCCGGGCGGGTCAAAACAAAAGGCGACGAAAGGCCAAGCGGCGCAAGGAAATAGAAGAGGACAGCCTGAGAAAAGAACAAGACCATCAAGATGAAAAACTGCGACGGAAAAATACTGGTCGAGGCCGACTTGAAATGACCTAGCCCTTGTTACTATGCTTTCCTGTCCTACATAGGTCTTGCTATCGGTGGCACCAACAGTGCAAGCAATTGTCACAACATCTTCACACCCTCCATATCCATCCCAGGCACCCAGGACAGCATCCGCTTCGAGCCAAAAGGATCACCTCAAAAGCAACCCTGTTTCGGACTGGATCGGCCAGACATGGCCAAGGCAAACAAAGCGAATCCAAACTGAAAAGAGATCAAGTACAGTCCCTGAAATCATCATGGGCGTGGAAAATAAGCCCCTGGAAGACCATTCTTATCTACAAACAGGTGGTGAACTCCACTGCCATGTGAATAATGTGGAGAGTAAACTTGGTTGAAGCAAAATGAGTTGGTCTGGAAATCCACGTCCCAACACTGCCAAAGCTGCTGGGATCTGTCAGCGCCACCAGCCTTGGATCCACAGCCCCATTCGATGATGGAGGCTACAGCTGGGTGTGCCCCATGAAGACGACGATGACAATGACGATGACAATGATGATGACGATGACGATGATGATGAGGATGATGATGGTGACGACGAAGTTGATGAGGACGACGATGACGATGAGGCGATGACAATGTTGATGAGGACGACGATGACGATGACGATGAAGTTGACGATGACGATGACGGTGACGGTGACGGTGACGGTGACGATGGCGATGACGATGACGATGACGATGATGATGATGATGATGACGATGATAAGGGCGAGCTGTTCAGGCAAATTGTCCGCGCTGCACCGCGGCTGGTGCGGGATACCTTCCATGGTCATCCCGCTCTTCCTCGAGGCCACGTTCTCAGAGTCGATCTCAGCAGCTTTCGAGCGGACCCCTTCAACTCCCAGGGCTTGAGATACCAAATTGAAAGTCACCTGGAGCTCCAATGTCTGCAGACCAGCTTATAGCAACAAGCTGGAGCTGGACTACGTCCCACACACAGTGATTGCAGTCTCTTGGCAGAAGCTGAATCAGGACACTCTTGCACGGCGGTGCTCGAGGGCACGGTTTGGTGGCTATCTTTCGCCCACCTACCAAATGAAGTGCTTGCAAAAGGTTTGCCTGATCTGGCTGGCCTGCGAGGAGCCAGACCGGTGGATCTTGAATCAGATCATGACATCCTGTCACTTTGGCCAAGCACTGAGACGATGCGCTGTGATCCTACGACATTGCACCTATGGCTCTGGATCCCATGGACATGACCTTGCTGATCAAACATCCAAAGCTTTGCCACTGCCTGCCTGGCTGAGGAGTCCATGTCCCAGCACGCTGCCACGGCCAAGAATAGGCCATGTGCATGCCATTCATTTCACAGTAGAGTTGTGTTTGGAGTTTTGAGCACCATAGTTTGCTTTAGGTTGGAGGCCCTCGCTAATAGGTTGGAGGTCATCGCTAGCAGACGCAACAAAGAAAAGGAAGAAAGGTCTAATCTAGTGAGGGGTCGCTGTCATCGCGAATGGACCCATGCTTTGCACTCTTTTAAGCTGGGACAGCTGCTGAACTCACTTGCCTGAGACCCTTCAGGGTTGTGAAGCGGAGCTGGGATCTGACATCGTCAGAGGTCCACGCGAATCTTCGTGACCGAAGAGCATGAGGAAGAAGAAGAAAAAGAAGAAGAAGAAGATGATGAAGAAGATGATGATGATGATGATGATGAACATAGAATCCATTCGCTTCAAGATTCATCATCATGAGCACCCATATGTGGTCGGATGCTATCCCAATCCAAGCTCCGATGCAACGAACAGCCACAGGCCAAACATGTTGTTCCCTCATACCCCAGGCACGCTCAAACAGCTTTTGTGGGCTGTGTCTTCATGCTACAAGGAACGGCATGGATTGCAGATGAAAGCCGTCCTGCTTCGAAAAGCCCAAGGTGTGGGACATCTCCTCGAAGAAACTGATGAAGCAAGCTAGGCTGTGGGGGAGGCAAAGAGGCAGACTGTGTACATCTTTGTGCACCTTGACTATATATACAAAATATTGACACGCCGAAATAATCCCAAACGTATGAGAGGCTGTGTCTTTCAGACTTCTTCACACAATGAGGAACCACTGAACTGTTCCCATTCCGAATCTGCTTGTTGAGCCTTTTGTTCACATTGACCCACGGAAAGAACCGTGGTATTAATCGGTGGGTGAAGGCTAGAAGCCTCGACCCTCGACCCGATCTTGGCGTCCATGAATCAGAACGCGGGTGTTGTAGACTTTGACCTGCTCCTAGAACTTGCAGTTATCTGTTCTAGTCCTGTTGACTTGCATATTTATAGAAATATACATACAGTGCGTGACATATATATATATATATACATACACAATTACAGTATACAAATACACATTGATATCTATGATGTGAGTCCTTGGCCAACTTGCCCAGCAAAGCCGCCTGCATCTGAAGATGTGAGTTTCTCAATGCAAGTAGTGGCATG